TATGCATTCCTCTTCTCCCCATTCAGGTTACATGCGCTGCCCATTTCATTCTCCTTAACTTGATCACTCTAATCAAACTTGGCAAAGACAGCAGATGAGAAAATGTTTTGGACTGAATGGTGGACAGTGTACAAACAAAGTGTTAATTGGAAGTGCTGACAAGATTACAGGAATCTGTTTGGAGGAAAAGACCCGAACTCTGGCCTGACAAGTGGATTCTCCACCATGACAGTGCTCCTGCACATGATGCGTTAAGGGTTCATCAGTTTATGGCTAAGAAAGCTATTATAAAATTGGACCATCCACTTTATTCATTTGACTTAGCCCCCTGCAATTTTTGGCTCCTTCCATAATTAAAAAATTCCCTCAACTGACAAAGTTTTGCTGACATTCCTGACATCCAACATGTGATGTTACTGCAATTTTCAAGACTGTTTTCAGCAGTGGCATCGTCTCATGAAGTGCACAGGTAAGCAAATTTTCTTTCACAGGACCATTCTGGGAAATAAATTGTCATACCTTATATGTTAATACTGGTTTAGAATATACTTTACACACTGTTATTTTGCCTTGATCTCTGTTCTATGATATTCCCGTTACAATGTGATGAAATTTAAAACTACTATTATATTCTTTTGATCATTCCAATTTTCCCTACAATAGTCACTGTAAACATCATAATTAAAGCTACATACTTGTACACGTGCATACGAAAACCAATTCTACAATGATTATTAAATACATTTGCCTACAGCCAACAGTTGAATTTCTGCACTACAAATTCATCACCAAACATTGCTGTGATGAACATTTTGCAATGTGTTTTAGAGAATAATCTAAGCTCAAGTTCTGGAGCTTAAAATTTTGCTGTAAATTTCCATCATCCAGTTCCATGGACTACACCTTTCACTATTATGACCTAGCACACAGTTGTTATAAAAGCCAGTTGGTTCCATGAACAAATCTCAAAGAAAATTCACTTGTGTTGCTATCAGCACTGACTTTCATGAATTACTCATGCGTGTTTGTTCACCCCAATGTGTGCAGAAGGTGAAGATTACAAAATGGATCTGAAAATAAACTTGAAATGAGCCATGGATTTGAGGTTCTCACTGTGGTGACTGTGAAGGGAACTGTTGCCTAGGATGTCAAGCATAGTCTTATAGACATATATCAACATTTTACAGGAACCTGATGCCTCCACCTTCAAGGTAAGGAGTGTAAGAGACACCATGTAGTTATGTAGATAGGTACTAAAGCTTTAGGAGTCGCTGCTACCTTGGAGGCACCAGGTACCTAACTACATGGCATCACATTCCAAAAGACAGTAGCCTTCAGGAAAGAAATCAGCTGAAGAACATTAAGAACTGAGGGAAGACCTAGTAAGGAATGTACAATGAAACTGTCATTTGAGGTTTCTTACGGAAACTGTGAATTTGACCTCTAAAGGCAAGGAAAAAAGGTAAAGTTGTCCCTGTAACAGCCCATGAAGGCCCATAGGGTTGTGAGACAACAAGGCTCCCACATTTTCTAGACAATCGGCTCATAGATGGCAGTAAGGCTGTCAGCCTTACACACTGGCCACTCTTTACCCTTAGGAAGATTCCTGGTACACACTTCTGTTACAGGCTGAATCGACCCCAGGACCACAGTGTGGCTGGAAGGATTAGGTTAACTGAAAAAATCCAATGACCTTCCGGCTTGTAGCATAGTGCCTCAGCCATCTATGCTACTGCATGCCCTGAATTTGAACTCTAAACTCAGAAAAATTTTTAATGAAAGAAATGTAACTTTGCAAATGAATGTCAAACAAATGAAACCCTTAAATCAAAGGGCAATGACCAGGGACTCCAGGGTTCATTGGAGGATAGGAAGAACCTGTGTCACACAAAACCCATCTGGAAATGATAATGAAGGAACAGATGAGGCAAACCACAAAACCTCAGTATTTTGTGTGGCAACTTTGTTGTACTTACTTAGCAGGAAACAGGATAGTGTATGCTGTTTATATAAACAACTCAAGATAATTCCATATTTATTGAAGTAAATGGTGCACTTTCAGAACCCTTGGGTCTCAATCACACCGCTGTCAACACAACCTTGCCCACTCAACAAGAGAGCCTTTGTTGTTACATCATTATTTACACAGGCCAGTGGTGAGAGAGCAAGGTAACTGTGTAGTGTCAAATGTGCAGTGACACACAGACAAATTCCTTCCCTCCCACTGAAATCTGCACTTCAGAACTCATCAAAAATCATCAAATTTAACTTTCAGTTTATATCTTCTTGAATGAAGCCAAGAGCTGCATCACAAATCATACCATACAATATAAAACATGACAACAGCCTGTGCTCTAATTAAGGTGCAGAACTGTATTTGACAATAATTCATCATGAACTCATAACAATTTATAATTTAAAACTGACACCATACATAACAGGCATAAAGGCACAGTCACTCATATTACTCTGTAAACCAACCAAAGCTTCCTTTGGTTTGGGGTTTCAAGATTTTATCACATGAATACCACTTAAGTTGAACTAGATATATTTAAAGATGTTTCACTATACTGGACCACAGTAATACTGAGAAGTAAAGAAAGCAATAAAAAACAAATAACTGGCTGAAAGAGTAAAATAAAGAGTTGCTAAACTGTCAAAAGGCAAATTACAAAGAAAAACAGAAATAATTATAGCAAAATCCCCATTCACGGTTTCTTTGTGGAGCAGCGGATTTGAACACCACATAGAGGAAAATCTTAAATGGGGGAAATTTAATACTGAGACTATCAATAACACTGAATGTCAAATACAGTAAAACTTGGTTATAGCAACATCGGTTTCTGCGACACCTTGTCTATTGCATCAAATATTCAATGGTACGAACTAATTCCTCATAAAGCAACTGTTTTTATACCTTGCTTAGTATTACATGCACAAATGCATCAACCTCGTATGTAACGTCATTTTCATTCCTGAATTTCTCTGATATCGTGGGAAAGTTCGATGTGTCTGCCCACCCTCACTTTCTCTACTTGCTGACGTGACTGTCCTGGAAGAATACGACCGCGGGCTGCAAGAGGAGCGTGGGTTTTATGCGAAAACAAGGGTGTGGGGTGGGACTGCGTGAATAGTGCAAGAGGACGCGGCAGGTTGTTAACTGCATTCCTTTCCTAGAATCTCGTCTAACAGGACCTCACATTGTCTACTTACCCTATAGTGTTCCTGCGTAAACCCAGAGAAGCGCAGTAGCGAAAACATGGCAATGAAAAGGAAAGTTTTAAGCATTGAAGAGAAAGTTAAAGTGATTCGTGAAATAGAAAATTGAAGGAAAAAAGCTGATGTGTGCTGCGAATTTGGTTTGGTGAATTCTACAGTACAGACGATATGGAGAATCCATATTAATTCCACGTTAATGTTATGTTAGTCTGTACTTAACTACTTATTTCACTAAAAAATGCAACATTTTAACTCGGTTTTTGGTAATTTTTACGTGACTAACATAAGGCTACCGTGGAAGTGCCCATTTCGGTTACAACGACATTCGTTTATAACGACACTATTTTTAGGTCCCTTTGATGATGTTATAACCAAGTTCTACTGTAATTGAAAATTTAACACCATGAAAATTAACCTTTATCCTACGGCCCTTTAAACTTAGGCTTTGGCTGCGGTACGGAATTTTTTAAAGGGCCGCTCTTAGATATCCGTAAGAGCTGTAAGTTACTTACTAATTTTGCTCCTATTTCTGCTATTTCTGTGATAATCGAACGAAATAAACGCTGTTTTTTTCTCGAAAGAATATAGAATCAGATATTGTAATTTACAGATTGTATAAAACATGTTAAAATTTTTGCACTGACTCCAAAAAGAAATTTGCCAATTTTTTTCCTTCTCTGCGAGAATTCATACGTTT